ACGTAAACCGAACAGCCGAGGCTCATACTACATGGTTGAAAAGTTCGATGCAAGCCTACACACTCGAGTCAGTAGAGTTCATACGCCAATACACATAAATGAATAGTAAATATTACAGAGGTAAGTACATAACGAACACAGTACAGAAGACAAATCTTCAGAGGTGCTTCATTTTTGGAGAATGTATGCGCACTGATTACGTGAAGGCACGTTCACTGACTTACGATTTAAATCCATTACACTGAGTTTAGAATTCACCTGAATAGACGATAACTGAAAATATGCGTGGCGACTCGACCATTTTGGTGACCAATATGGCTGACGTCATTTCATGCATTAGTAGTTTGAAGAACATACAACAACAGTATAAAGAACCTTCACTTAGAGGTTTGTCACATACATAGGAAACACTGCTAGATGATATGGATAAAATACATGAGAAATGAGACGCCGGATGGTTATGGTCCAAACTGTTCTGAGATATCACTAGTCTTCTTCACAATGACGACTCGGATAAGAAGTAATGTACTAGTGCTCCCAGATGCCTAATCGATGTCGCAAAACAGTTGAAGAATCATCCTATTACTGAAAGATTGTTAGCTTAGATGCTACACGTAGAAGAGTTGAAGATACATGTGCGCACAGCGCACTGAAGATGTCTCCTCGAATGGTGACGAAACGTTTGCAAATCAATTGCCAAGCCCGCCGAACAGATCAACAGCCACCTGATCAATCACCAACTAATACACCCGAGCTACCAATATTCCAACACCTTACCAATGCTACTAACCTGTTGGAGCTTGAGCCAGATATATATGTTGGGCATAGGCAGGATTTGTGGCTTGTAGCCCTAGTGGGTGTTGGGAGGAAAATAGGAGCTGTTGATGTTGTTGGGCCACTTGAAAAGCGGCCTGTTGGACACTGGGCTGTTGCTGTTGTTGGGCTGCCAAAAGTTGCTGTTGTCCTGCAGCAGTGGTGGCCGTTGCGGTGGAACCAGCTGTTGGGGTTTGTACAGCAGTCCCGAGTTGCTGCTGCTGTGGTTGTTGTTGCTGTTGCTGATGCTGTGCCTGCTGAGCATTGTACAGTGTAGCACCAACCGCCTGCCAGGTCGCAGCGACCGGCTGCTGCGACTGTTGTTGTTGTTGTTGCTGCTGTTGTTGTTGTTGCTGAAAGTGTACAGCAGCAGGAGTTGCCTGAGCTCCTGGAGCGGCGGACCACTGAAGGAACGTTTGGCCGCCGGTTCCGGGAGTTTGGGAGGCGATGAAGAATTGTTGGGGACCAGCACCTGATGTACCAGGAAACTGAAATTGAGGGGTGGCGTAACATCCGGCTGCCATAGCAGCTTGAGTACCTTTAGAAAAGGTCAAATCAAACGGTTGATAGTGTCACATAAGAATGGTAAAGAAAAGGACTGATATACAGATCAAACAGAACTTCTAGTGTCCTACCCGAATACTTTCGTACACAAGAAATAACGAATTATCAATCAATATCAGTGACTTGTGCTGTCCTCCAACAGCTAAACCGGGAGCACTTCAACTACAAAAAATGGGTGGTTGCAAGAGTACATAGTGGTCAGCTTCCCCTACATCTTAAGGTTTGAAAAGACTGGTCGTGCCCGGAACAGTCCAAATTTATGGATTACCGCTGGGGATGTACACGCTCACCTCAGTTCAGCTACAAGCCGTCTGCCAATATGCAATAGCTCTAGCTACGGTAGCTCCATCTATTGTTTGTATTGAAGGAAATTGCTTCCAGAACTGTGGCAGGATAGAACTTCCAGGCATGAAGACATCTACTTGTGGATGGATTGGACGAACAGTTAGGCAACTATCTGCTGTTATTAATCAGACATTTTCAGTTAGCAGAAACGTGAACAGTAAGTAAGACAACCACGTGACAGTTGTTAACTCAAAGAGACTGCGTAGATTATCCGCTGGTCAGAAGACAAACAGATATACAGACAACATGGTCACCTGTGGAGCACGAACACAGTGTGGATACCACGTGTTCACTACCCATGAACCAGGAGTGCCGAGAAAAGAAATCGGGAATTATTGCTCCCAGGTAACTGATGAAGCCAGAACCATTGTATGGCCTTGTAATAACGGTAGTGTCCCATCTCAATTCTAGTGTATTAAACGCCCCGAAAACAGGCCAAAACTCACAGCTTAACGTATGTACAACAATATTGTGGATATTTAGACGCCTTCTGGACGCGACGCTACCAATCGAAATTCAGTAGACAGTGAAACATGATTGGCTATTGGGTTCACACTTTCGACCTATCAGGGCTCGTCTTGACGGTGGACGGCCTATCTTTTAACCAATCACTTGCGAGTTAGGTTTATTGGCAGTAGCAGTGTCTGATTGCGAGCAGTAAGGCGACTTTCGTGTAGGATTCTGCCTGATAGGGAGTATGCAGCTAATCGTTGGAAATGGGAGTTAATGGATGAGTTAATAGTCACCAAAACAGCTCCATCTGTTTCACCTGTATCACCTGTTAACTAATGAACGCATTTAGTCTAGAGTGCTGCTTTCAGCATCACATCATAACAACAGCACTTGTGCATGGTGTATTCAGAATAAGCATGTGTAAGCTGCTTCCACCCAATGTTCAATCGTCATTCAGATATGTACCGCCCGATAACATAATTGTCTCACTGACATGATCCTGCCTACAATAATCAAATGTATGTTTGCTCCTTCTTCCTACAATCCGAGTCATCCCGAATCCACAGCCGTTTTTTATTCACGTCCATCTGACTGGCTCCATCATAATGCGTGCGATGCGTCACAAACTAGTGACTTTGACCACTTGAGATAATTTTAGACGCACGCGTTTCCTGAATACTCGCACCATCACGCGCCGTACACACGTGGTAATCATTCTACAGTGCCAGTTTGGCGTCTACTCTGGATATGATAATCCTTTATCTTTTTTACATTACCTCAATAATTTCCTTGTACTTGTACATAATTCAGCGAGGGATTTTGGAGGAAGTTCCCATGATGTGAGAATTACGTTTGTTTACGGGTATATTGAACAATCTACTGATAAAGCTCAATATTCAATATTGCTGTCTCGTAATTCCATAAATCATTCCATAGGGCTTCCCATAATGCATTGTATACTCTCCAGCACCCGAATTTGACTATTCTCCCTGAATCCCAGAGAAACGATTAATAGAAATAGAAATATCTTCAGAAGTTCCTGATGGAGAACAAATATCACTCACTCCCCCAGTGAACCATATTTCCAGTCTCTTCTCTTTCCTTCGCACTGCTGACCAAATTTCACTAAGACTAATAGTGCTAAAGTCTAGCATGCTTCCTGTTCGACACCTAGGAACCAAGTATGAACAAGAAACTTTAGGTAAAACCAGCCGAAATTTGTGGGCATTAGAAGGATAACGTAGAACCAATTCGAAAAGCAGAAAAGTTGTAGAGACTGATCACCGGAAGATGAACCGGGAACCTGGTAGAACGATAACGACGTCTAGAAATGTGCACATGTACGAGACCGCTTGTGATGATGGGGCTTAATTTGACGGGACTCTTCGGAAGTTCATGGGAGGTTTTGAAGTCACCGCTATTGACAGAATTAGTGATAACATCCAGCGACAGATGTCTTTGATCCCTTACTGCACCGGTAGAGCCAAGGCGGTCAAAAAAGATCGGACGATGTCAACAAAGAAAGTTGATTCCAAAAATACCATGAATATCCTACACATTGGGTCCTGGTGTCTTCATGACAACCGAGCCTCATCAACGGTATACTAATCGGGGGAAACAAAGCTAACCTGCCGAAATTCGTAAGTCAGATGCATAGCTGAACTAAATACCACTAAGCTGTGGCATCATCCTGAGTTGAGTGAGCACAAGAGCTCCGTGGTCACTCTTTTGACGTATGTCTCACATTCCATCTGAAGATCATCATCATCATCGACAGCATGACATCTGTGTTCAGCACCGATGCTTCATTGCCGTACAATCATGATTTATTTGAAAGCCTTGTTGTAAAGAAGAGTATGGGTGGACGGGGAAGGGACTTAGTGCTAGCTTACCACAATCATTCCGAGGCTCCTACACCTCCAGACACTTACTCAGGCAATCTGGATAGAAACTGACAAGAACGCTACTGACATCGGTTGGCAGCCGTATCTTGTAGTATCTCCAACCAGGCAGTGAGGATCACGCGGTCCCCATCCTGGAAGGCGAGTAGCACCGACAGCACCCAAGCGCTTCATGATCTCCTTCATACTCCTCTGCCAAGTGAAAGGTTGGCCACCTCTCTGTTTGCGCCACTCTGAGTTGAGCATGAAACCAGCACTCTCTTCGGCAAACAATGGTTCAGCATATGCAAGACGTCCCAACCAGCGCAGCTTCTGGTGCTGGACAGGCTTCACAGGCTATTTGAACACCGGGGTTTCGGAGACCCACCAGCGTTTGTCTCATTATTTCATCGATCACGAAGTTAAAAAGGAATGGAGAGAGTGGGCATCCCTGACGGACAGCAAACGTGACTATGGCTTGGCGGCCTTCAGACTTTCTAGCTTCTAGGTCTGCTAAAGTCCGTCCCATGTTGTCTTACGACGTTCGTCCTCTACCTGCAGCGGATCAGCTGCGTAATTTTCTCGGCACATGTTTGACATGGAATCTGAGGGAAGTTTACCGGGGTTAACTCGTCCAAACTTGGACAAGAGCATCCGTAACGCAAAAAAATTCCGTCAACCACCACTTCCCGAAAAATTAACATCAGTCGTAAGGTGTTCCAGTAGGCTTCTTACGTCCCACATCGCTATTCTTAAATGTTACTCCTTGATTTGTCAAACTGCAAGCACATCAGTTACGATAAGGCCTACTCTGCGCTCAAGGTTGAGGGAACTTTAGTTGTGCCAGAAGCCTGACAGCCAAGTAAAATGTACCGAAATTTAGAAAGATCCGAAAAGTGGGTTGGCAAATTACGATTAAATTTAAGTACACGGTTTTGAAAGAATTCATGAAAACCAACCTGGATGCATAGGGATAGTAGCAGCAGTTGGGCAGGCAGACATGGATAACGTTACCATGGGCGACGCGGACATGAGCTGGCCGCCACTAACAAGCATCTGCTGTTGAGCTGGCTGTAGAGTTGCATGTTGAGTGACAGGAAGGGAGTATTGTTGCTGGAGCTGTTGTTGGAGGAGATATGCTTGTTGTTGCTGTTGCTGTTGCTGGAACTGTTGCAGCTGCTGTTGCTGTTGTAGTTGTGCTTCTGTGGTAAGTGCGATGGTTGAAACGGATTGGTTGGGTAGAGCTTGGGAGATACCAGATTCAGGGAGACCACCGGAAGGTCGATTGCGCTTAGCATCTGCGAGAAGAAACAGTAACAAGGTTGAGAAGCTGTGATTGCGAGATGGATCCCCTGGGAACACTTATCAAAGAACTAGTCAGAAATGGCATGTCATATAAACATAACAGGACAGAGGTCTCAGCGCGACGCCGAGAAGGCTACAAAAGTGGTGCACACAGGACGACCGTTGGGGGTTCGTTCATCACATAGACAGAAGCTAAGGAGACATGTTCACGTAGTCATACAAATGAAGGAATGGCCAAACCGACAATTTATTAACCGGGTCGGTACCACGAAATCCTACGTACTGAAGTCTACAATATTTGTCAAAAAGGCATACAGGCCAGTCAGCACTGGCATGCATTTGAAGGTTGAGAAACCGTTCGTGCGGTGACTTCCAGTAACGCCGGGGCAGTTGATTCACTGAACATTCTCCCTAGAGAACTGCTGCAGCCTTTTCAAGTCAGAGGTTTACTTCGGGCACACTGAAATAGACTATTCAATCCGGTTTACCATAACTTTTCTAGCCATATCGCCAAACTTTGCCAAAGGGTGTTTAAGTACAGCTGGCTGCACAGTGAGTTTGACGACGATCAGATTTGACAGACGCATCAGCCATTGTTCAACTATAACACACTTTCGGTGCCCAGTTGCCATGCCACTCGAAGGAAGCACGAGGGTTGAGATACCACCAAGTTACAAAAGCCTGAATAGGAGCAGTCGAGTTGTTGTGGTTGGGTTCAAACCACAGACTAGTCGGTAAGTTCACATCTTAACCACATGAGCCAACTGTGTCGACACGTCACACGGTCGTTGAATGGAAAGACTCGCGCTACCTGGTAGTGCCAGAAGTACAGATCCTTGAAAAAAGGATCACTTGACTTGACGATGGATCCGTCAGTGAAATGTTCATATGTCAGCGTCCAGCTCACAGGCGTGGATAACGCCCACATACTGTACATGTATTGTTAACGGACGGTGTAACTGCACTATAAGACATGCTGCAAAGACTAATCCAGAAACGCTGTAAACTCATTTTGGTGCGTTAAGGAAGCGTTGAATGGTGTGACGAATCGAAGCGGGTGCTTGTTGAGGCAGTTAAACTAAGTGAGACCAATAGCTGGATCAAATCACACCTACCCTCATCTGCATACAAATGGCAAAACGACCTGCGAAAATTTTCCACCGAATAGACGATGGTCTGAAAAGCGAGGTTGTACTGAATGCAGGGAAAGGCTTCTGCGTCGCTCACAGTTGCAGATCTGTCGGTTAGTCTAAATTTTGCTCCGAAATCAGGACTTGACGCACCTTACAGTGCCTGAGCCCAATATAGGTTCTGTCGAATGGTTACTAGAATTATCTGAAGTACCAATTACTACAAGCAGTCTGTCAAACGCACATAACATATTCTAGTACTCATTATCTACAATCTCACAACGACTTATTACAGGCTGCCAAGAGTA